GTCATAAAGCGTTGTATACAGCTGGAAGACATTTCATTTTGTAGAGAATTATTTGCTCTATAATTCTTCCCCATCCAAACAGAATTCCACGAGACGACAAACTTGATCACGGTTTTTTAGAGGCTTTATCTTTGGAAAACTAGGAATCTTTTTCATTTCCAAAAATTCTTTTTTTAGAAATAAAATTATCTGCATAAGTTACTAATTGGGTTCTTATAAGCGTTTATGACTGTGAAAAATAATTGAAAATAAACATAGTCGAGTAATTTTGGGAACCATTGGTTATAAATATTTGTTCAATTCAGAGATATTAAAAGCAAACAGACATGGTATTATCATTATAAATTCATGAGGAGTGACAATGATTTAATGGAAGTGGATAATCTTTATACACATCTTGCTCATGTGTAATACCACAATGATTATACTAGTGTTTATTGTTTTCTTCTCTTATATTATATTATTCATTTTTCATTTTCATGATTAAAACTTTTTCATTAAATAATGAATATTGTTTCTTCTGATTTTTTCATTCATGAGATAATGCACTGTTTAATGAATTGAAATATTTTGCCGCTTGAGTAGACAAAACTATTACTTCAATTGATTTTTTCTAATGCTCATCATTATGAAATATTTCTTTAGTTTTTAATATATTATGAAATTTTGCTTTATCTAATACTGGACTGGACAATAATTAAGTGCCCTTACATTAAGTTTCAGAAAATCTCTATTAATCTTTGTAAATTAGAACGACGTAAATAAGAAACGATAAGAAAATGACATGCCTACAGCGACTTTCGAAGTACATTTTTTGACATTGATTTGACGGTTCATGGAGCTTCGTCTGCATGATGAAATTACTAAAACTTCTTGTTAATAACTAACTTCGAATTTCTTCATTGAATTTTGTATTCAAACATTTCTCATGTTAAACAAGTATCACATAAAAATTTTAAAAAATTATGCGAAATTTTTGACTTCGACTCGATTATAATAGTCATATGAAAACTATTCAATACTACAGTAATGAATTCAAAAAAATGAAAGTCTTATCGAAAAATTTAGAAGAATCTTTGTATTTAAGATTTTCTTTTCAAACGGTTGTATTGTTTTATATGTATGTATAATTCACTGTATGCTTGTATCTATTACTGTTACCTAGAGAGGAAATAGCAAAAAAACCGGAAATAGAACAATTAATTGAAGGGTAATTGCCAGCTAAAGAATGATGTTCAGGAAGAGAAGCTGTATTGAATATTAAAGAAAAGGTATTCATGACAAAGAACACGATAAATGATGTGGAATGTCAGAACCGGTAGTAAGGATCACAGCCAATAGAAGATGGCAGAATTAATTTAAAGTGTCACTAATAGAGTAAAGTTAAGAACGTGTGGTTTTTAATTTTCTATGAAGATCGATTTGACATAATATTATGTCACTTACAATTAAGTGATTAAGGCCCTCCTAAAAAACTTGATCTTAGATCAAGTATATACAAATCGCATAAAATTTTCAGTCCTATAACATGACGTTTACAGAAGATAGAGTCAAAAATAGTTCATTTGGCACCTCTAAATTCCCATTGAGATCTTATTTTATATACATATAATTGTCTTTTTATTTGAACGAGACAAAGAAGAAACGAGAAAGAGTTCTCGCTTTTTTCTAAAAACATAGTATCAAGCGGGCTGTTCTTCCATGCATTAATTTCAAGAAAGATTTTCCATGTAAGAAAACCAAAAAAAAAGAAGTCTAATTTTTCAACAGATAGACTTCATTTGATTTTCACCTAAAAAAAAGAATTGATTTTATACTAATTTTTCGTCAAAATTTCTGACATGGGTTTTCCATCTCCCAAAACTGATAACAACCAGGAATCTTTCTTATGCGAATGTTTTCGAACTTTCAATTAGCCAATAAATAAAAGCGCAAAGCATTTACTCGATTCAATGACATTTCTCATCTACAAATAAGGCCGAGTGCATCATCAATTGCACTTAGTGGCATGAGTATACTAAAGTGGAACAGTGTAACTCAAAATAGTAACCGCTTTGACTCTTTGAAATTACTCAGCGGGCATCGTACTCATGAAAGCTTATGTTAATAAATGATACTCTTCAAAAACTTGGCTTAACTACGAACACATCCTGATCTTTTAGTTCAATAAATAGTTCGACTTATTTCTCATGCTGTTTTTTTTTTCTAGCATGAAAATTATCCAACCCTATTGAACTTGTGATCACTGTGACACTAAACGTTTTACAATATTTTCATAAATAACTGCAAGGATTGTAGAGTTTCATTGTGTAGAAATGTACTTTAATAGTGCCATTCTAAGTAGGACAGGCGGATCAGTAGAATCCGTCGGGTCTCGAATCCTGACTTGACCGCTTTTGGAACCAATATGATGGACTTTATGGGCTGGATAGACATGAGCGATTCTAGGTTCGGGCCGATTTCAATGCCTTAGTATATTTTTGAAAAAATTTCCTGCAATCCAATTAAATTGATTCAATTGAAAATAAATATCTCATCTAACACAAAAAATCCTATTGATTAATGATAAATTTTGAATTTTAGATTAATTAAATAAAACAAATGGACGATAATGCAAATGATAAAAAACGTGTTATTCTTGATGATGATCAAGAAGAAGTTTATGAAAATCCACCACATATTTTTTATTGTTTATGTGGACAAATGGCATTAATTTTAGGTAGACAAAAAAAGCCTAATTTCATTGTCTATTTTCTATATATAAAATTCTGTTTAGATTGTGCATTAGAATGTTTACCATTAAGAAAACGTGATCGAGCACGTGTTATTGATTCAAAAGAACATGCACATAAAAAATTCTGTAAAGATGAAGATACGCCGGCTTATATCCGCCGAAAGTATATTGTTTAATATTATCAATTAATTTTATATATTTATTTATTTTTTTCTATTATAGAGATGAAGGTATTGAAACACAATATCGAAAAAAATGTTTAAAGTAAATAAAAAAAATTTTGATATTATTTTCTATAATTTTAATTTATGTTTAGATGTGGTCTTTCATTATTTTATCAACATGCGCAAAATAGTCCTGTGACATTTATTTTTGATGGTGCTTTATCAGTTGAAGCAAATGATGCATCAAATATATATAATCAAGTTCTTGGTTCGGAATCGAAAAAAGTTATTAAAAATATTAAACGTGAAGATCGTGGAAAGACATCATCTGTAACAGTATCAACATTAGATGAAGAAGAAGAAGAATTAGAAGCACGAGAAATTGCTAATTCTTATACACAAAATGCACGTGTTATTGAAAAACAACTTGAACGTAAAGGAATGAATAAACGAAAAGCAATTGAAGAGGTATGTTAAGCTTAAAAAACATGATCAATAAATTATATTTGTTACACATTTTCTTTTTTATTTTAGGCTGCGCGACGTGAACAAGAAGCCAAACGAGCTAACATTCGAGGAACATTAATTGATAAATAAATCGATTTTTGTATATTGTATAAATATATTAAAATATAAAAGAAGATCGTAATAAAATCTTGAATTTATTTGAACTTTTAAAAGTAATCGGTGGCCTAGAATAAATGATGATCTCAGTATTTTCTTATGAGCATCCACTTTTTGGAAGTTAAAATCAATAATTTTTTTCGACTTTTGGTTTTTCATCGTTAATATAGGTTCGAAATTGGCGCTGCAAACATTCTTTCTGTGCAAAATTCTCTCAATCTCAAAGAAATGGAGGGCGAAGGTTGAGATCATTTTTCGCTATTGGGATTACAATATCTCATTGAAGACAATATTCCGAAACTTTGAGTCTACGACAATCGTTGCTATACTCATCGAGATCTCTCTATTCTGAAAGTTTCAAATTGTTCTGATGAGTCGCTCTCTAGAAACCCGGCAAAGGACAGGGAGGATCCCCTGTACATACTTATCTGCTGTTATTATTACCGATTGAATTTATTTCTTCTAAAATATAGAACGTTCAAATCTTTTAAAAATCGTATGGAGATGAATTTTAAAAAGTAAAAAAATAAAGGTTTTTCTAACAATGATACCACAAATATAATATATTAACAGCTATCTAATGTGAAATATTATTTATTGTGCGTTAAGTGTTCTCGTGCTGCTTTATAACAACAAATTACATTACCAATTTTATAGAACTTCAGAAGCTTTTTCTTTTCCATATAATCAAAATATTCAAAAGAGAAGGCGTCTAGGGATTTTCAGCTAGTGCACACTGGCATCAGTTGTTCACTGAAGCATTAGAACTAGGAAACCGCAAAACTGCCATGGTGTGACCGCTACGGTGACCAGAAAAGTCAATCACAAGTTTCAAAACTGGCACGCAACGCTAAGAAAAAGGCATATTTTGATAGAGTTGCTCTCTCAATGTTGTAGTAAACATGAATTCCAATGTAATCAGTGCCTCAGTGGACTCTGTGCCAATGACTCACTATTCAGTTTTCACACCAACGCTGCAAATCCCAAAATACGTGCATTTCTTCTTCCTTATGACATTTGTTCCAAAGAATTAGCGTTACTTAGTCAACTATGAATTTGAAGAACAAAAATTTTATTAATTTAAACTCACCTAAGTAATTATCTGAATTCTAAATGAATGACACTTTATATCGACTAATTTTATATGGAGAACGTAACCAATGGTAAATACGAATCAGTATTCAAATCATTCTATCCATATGATCATCTGAGTTTTCCATTGAATACATCATTAGACAGAGTGGCCAAAATTGTTACTTGATGCTCCAGCTGGAGAAAAAAGAACAACCGACATCTCTATAAAATTTAGCTCGCAACTCTGAAAACAAACTGAAATATAAAAGAAATAACGAGACCACCATTTATTCTGAGTGATCTATTACATTTGATTTCTTTCGTACTGAATTAAACAACGAAATAAATACTCATCAAGTTAAAATTTAATTAGAATAATGGAAAAAGTGTTTATATATTATCTATTATGAAATAGTCGTTGTTTGCCGAGATGATTTTGAATTTGATTTGTAAATAAGTGATGATGGTTTCAACATAGGTAATTTAACAATACTACTCATTGATTTCGATAAAATTTTTATATCTTGTTGTTCAACAGATGTATAATAATCAATAATTAATTTATCTAAATCTTTAATTGTACCTTGTTGTAATAATGAAGTATTTAATAAAAGTTCTTTGATAGCTAATTCATCACGATGTATATTAATATAAGTTTTAGTACGATTCAAAAATTTAATACGTTCACGTATTAATGATAAAATTTCATCATGATGTGTTATTAAATTTGATAAAGGTATAAGATAATTTTGATTATCATTATTATCATAATTAATTAATTGACGACGTCGACTAAGAGATACTTGTCGATCGAGATTATTTTTTGGTAAATTAAAAAGTATAGGTAAAAATGACGAACGATTTATATTATTCATTGTTTCTTTTGGTTGTTCACGTCCGGTACGTACAAGACGTTTATGTAAACGATATGCCATTTGATGATGATTATCTTGTTTCTTAATATAATCTAATGGTTGTTCAAAATAAGAATAGAATGGATCAGAAAAAGCATCTTGAAACCAAAATTCACGAAAATCTATTGTAACACGTTTTCGTCTTAATTCAGCAATACGAGCTTGTTCTACAGCATAATCTTTCCAACAATTAAAAAATTCTTTAACAATATAATCATCACGAAAACGTTGAGTTGTTTGTTTAACTCGAGATTCAATTCTATAAACATAAATATTCTATAATAAAATTATTGAAATCGAATACATACTTATCTAAATTTCTTTGATTTTGAAATAAACCTGATTCATCAATGAAATCATCGTCAAAATAATATGATATGTCTGACATAAGATATTTATTCAATGGACGAAATTCATCTGTATGTGCACAAACTAAAATTAATTTATCAATAAATTTAAATGTATAACAAAAGTAGACGGTTTTATATACTCGAAATCCTTTTAAATTGTTTTAGAGTAATTGAAAAATAAAATATCAAATGTCATGTGTTATTAAAAGAAAATAGAAAAGAATTTTATTTTATTTTATAAGTTATGTGAAATTCTTAAAATTTTAATATGCATTGTTTTCTTCATACGAGAGAAGTTCCCCAATGAGTTTTGAATATCCTGAAAAAAGTTCTAAGTTATTAGCTATTGCATTATAATGGTAAGTCACTTTCAAGAAAACTGATTTCTGAATTTCGACTTGAAACTTAGTAAAGAAACAAACCCTAACGATAGTAGTTTACTGTGAAAATTTCAGCTCTGTCGATTTGCTTCTGTCCTGAAATAAGAATATTGAATCTGCCGGTGTAATGAATAATGTAAAAGACATACTTTTATCATACTTAGGTCTTAGAATAGGAATAACGATAAGATCTGAAAAAATTCATAAAAAACTGTTTTCATTAAGGACTGTCTGTGTACAAAGTTTGAAGTCAAAATTCGAAAATCATGACATTCATTTAAAAAAACTGCAAAAGTATGGAATCTTGCCAGCAGTAAACTAAGGATCTGAAACGGTTTTTAGGATACTCATAGCTCATTTGGTTCTACATAATACACGCAGCTCTGACTCAAAAGTGATTAGTCAGTCGGAAGACTTCCCTCGTTATTGAAACAAAGAAAACTTTTAAAGAGCATTCGTGCTTATGATTGTTTGTTCGCGATATATAGTTAAACGTAATGACAACAAAAAAACAAATAGCAGTTTTCAAATTATCGTTCTTTGATCCTTCTAATTAAAAATTATCGAATTTTAAAATCGTTAACTAGACTTAATACTGAAATTTCAAGTGTTGTAATAATGTAGAACACCTAGTATTTAACATGTTTTTTTAATCTCATTAAGGAAGAAAAAAATATAGTACAAGACTTAAGTCAAATATGAAGAAAAGACAACTGAATGGCATTAAAAATTCATATAGAAGTGATGAAAACCTAATACACTCCGACAACATAAACAGTAAATCAGATCAGGAGTTCAACACCTCTCTTTATTGCATTGAAACGAACCGAAACAAAAGCAAGTATTGACAATGTTGAAAATTTTCAGAATGTATCCATTTAGAAATCTGACGAATGATACTAATTTTAAAATACTATTGTTTATTTTTCGTAATAATATTAGCCATATCTCAGAAACGAAGCATCATAAACATGAACAGTTTTAGAATTTTCTTTCTTTCTTTCTCTAAGTTCTTCTTATAACAAATAAATAAATTCAAAGACTTAAAATCATTTAGAATATTTTTATCGTTAGTTTTATTTTGCTTACTTGTATCACTTGGTTGCCATCCATTATATAAATATGATACTCTTGGAGCAAGACGTTTGATAAAGTTTTCATCTGTTTTAATGGCTGTTAATGAAATACGACGAATTTGTTTTTCTTCTGCTTGTTTTTGAAAAAATTCAGCTAGATATAAAATCAAATAATTTAACACAAGATTTTAATTATTGTTGTTTCTTGATTGAATCACTTACGAATATATTCTGTAAACATAGCTGGTTGATCAATTTCTTTTGTATCATTATTAAAATCAAATAATTCTTTATCAAGATCATATGCATCAATATTTTGAATTTCCTTATTACGTTTTTGAAAATTATTATCAAGCTCAAAATTTTTTATCATTGGTTTAAGGAAATGTAAACGTGATTGTTCAACTTTTTCATTTGTTATTTCAATAGTATCATTATATTTATGACGTGTTTGATCAAAATTAATAACAGATATAGGTGGAACTGTAAAACGTTTTACATTTAGTAAATGCATTGTAATAGCATCTTGATTTTTAATAGATTTTGATTCGACTTGAATATTTTCTGTTTTTTCTTCTACATTTAATTTCTTTTTTGATCGATGTTTGCTTTTGTTTTTTCTTCTAGTTGTTGATTTACTTTTGCTTGATGATCGAGATCGAGAATATTTACGAGTAGATTTAGCTGAAAAATCGAAAATATTTATTATAGACCAAGATATTTCATATGTTGCGCTTGTACCAAAAAAAAATAATATAAAATATAGCGGGTGGATTGAAAGTCTTATATAAGAATTTTGTGCTCTTTCCATATCTCAGTTAAGAATTTTTTTCAAACTCATAGGTTAGAGGCTATTAGCGAACTTTTGGAAGGCCTGAAAATAAAACTTGAACAGAGACAATTTCACTTTCTGATATTGAGAATGCCACTCTTTCCTGTTTGGAATTGTTTTTACGCTGTTTTTCACTGGTTGTCCTCATTACTTTCATGGTTCTGTCGTAAATACATCTATTTCGCTTAAGTCTATTTCTTTCTGCTTGACTGCATCATGTTTTAATTTTTTTGAATCAGTACCCGTATATTTGATGTCATTCTAATATACGGGATGAGAGCTAAAAACTAAGAACCACGTTGCTATCTTCCAGGCATGATCGCGTCCATTTTGTAAGTTTGAAAACCAAGGAATTGCGAAAATGTTATTGATTCTCTTACAAAAACTCTAGTTATTGATTGATACATGACAGAATACTTATGATCACGACATTGACTTGCTTGCTCGTACGTTCTATTGATGTATTTGGAATATATTTTACTTCAATTCTAGCCGTTTCATCATTCAATTAAATTCGTCCGAACTTTATTTACAGGATTCTCAAAGCTTCGCTTATAGCTCATAATTTATGAGTTCGAAAAGACTTCAGAGCTGTCGACCATCTTCATCGATCGAACAAATGAAGGAACATTTTCCTTAAAAATTGTTTGACTGTAAAAAAAAACGCTTACATGAAAGTTTTCGTTTTTTCTTTTTATATGTTATTATAGGATCATGTTCAACATCAATTTGCTTGTCTTCAGTAGCAGAAATAAATGGAACGGCTTTACGTGGAATTAATATTAGTGGTTCTTCTTGAAGTTTTGTTTCGGTTTTCTTCTCTGTCTTTTTTATTCTATTATCATTTGTATTTGTTTGTTTGATTTTTTTTGATTTTTTCTTTTTCTTTTTCTTCTTCATTTTACCACCAACTTTATGATAGACGACTTTACCATCGGATACAATTGGAATAGGAGATTGAATTTCTTGATTTTCTTGTTCGATACTAAAAGCTTGAGTAGAAAGAGATTCATCGTTTGGTGTTGGAACTAATTCAACATCTTCAATTTGTTTGATAATTACTGATTGATGTTTTCTTTTGGAAGATTTCTTTTTAAGAACATTTTGTTCTTTTGATGGCTGAGATATTATTGAATTTTTTCTTTGAGAAATACTCAATCTGGATGAGAGATCATTGGGTAAAGAAGAATGAGATACTGTAACCTTGATATAAAAAGAAAATATATTAATTTTGATACTCAATTCATAATGTTACTCGTTTATTTTCATCGGTTTTTTGTTGCGATGCTTCTTGTACGGTTTGAATAATATCTGATGGAACTGTACTTGATAAGTTTAAAGGTATTTCTTGAAGAGAATTTAATTTTTCATTATTATCAAAAGTTATTAATTCAGTAATATTATTTGTTGTATCAATCAATTGATGTTTCGTTAATGAATCTTTATCTATACTAGTAAATGGTATGTCTTCGGGTGTCTCAATTTCTTCAGGTTCTTCTTGAACAGGAGAAAGAATAGTTGTAGAATAAGATGATAGTTTCATTTCAGGTTTTTGACTATGATAATCAATCGTATTGACATCAGAAGATTTATTATTCATATCAGATGTTGATACTAATAGTAATGAGTTTTTAGATTTTAATGGAGTAATGTTTGTTTGATTGAATGTAAAATTAGTTGTATTTTGTACATGAATTAATGGTGGTATTGGTTCGAGATTTTCTTCATATATTGCTCGTTGTGGAACAAGCAAAACACGTTTTGATAAATCTACTTGGCGATGAATGACAGTATTACCTTGTTTTGTTTTTTCGAATTGGACTAAACGTGTTTTTCGTTTGATTTTTTCACGAAGTTTTTCTTCGTTTTTTTCTCGTTGTTTATCAATGTTTGATACGGGTAAATTAACATCAACAAACTGTCAATAATTAAAACATATTGAAGTCCTTTCCCTTCAAACTGTATTAAATTTTCTGAACACATTGAAGCTATAGTGAAGAGGTTATAGTGGAATTTTCAATTCGATAGCATCATTTTTTCATGAAATATTCCCGAAACAAGCATACGATGAATTGTTTGATTTCAGTCTGCATTTCGATAAAAAGAATACTCGATTTTAAATAAAAATGGTGGACTAGGAGAACTTTAGAATTTTTAGTTAGTATAGTTATATGAATAATTCTAATGACGTAGTGGATGCATCGTCGAGAAAATATAGAGTATGAAGCGTGTACATATGCTTGTGTAGTAATCATATACTGAAAACATCTCATGAGTTAAATACGGATGTCGTTGTGTTAGGACGAGACCCTCTAGATTCTCACTATTTCCAAAAAGTGAACGTGATTTTTTTTTCTTCTTCTAAAATTCACTTTCAAATGAAAACCATCCATAGACTCTAAGCAAGGGTCGAAAACAGTTTCTTGGGCAACTCAAAATTCTCCGTGGTCTTTCGTTCTGTATACTTTATATTTCTTTTTATTTGAAAGAGCACGTCTAGATACAAAGTCTTACTTGTTGAAAGCTGAAGGTGTAGAAGAACCTCAAAAAATGGTTAAATAATGAACAGTGCTTTATTCAAATTTTTTCATCTGGATACATGAAATCAAGCTCTGCGAGGTTGAATATTTATTTTTGGGAACGCAGACATATAATACATGGTTCCAGTGACTAAAAACTCCATAAGAGTCAATGCGATCTTCAGAGGGGCACCATTCCCTTGGCCCATACACTGCGTAACACACTAATAATGGACAGTCACAGAAAATTTTGAGTTTGCCTAATTAACTATTTTCCATCTTTGTTTGACAAATATCTCATGAAAACACGGTGATATCGAGTTGGAAATTTCATGTAGTTTGAATGTTTCTGACTGAGCATAGGTTTTGAAGTGGGGAACAGGAGTTAATCAAATATTAAATACGAAAGAATTTACTCGATGTCGAATATAAACTTCACCATATTCTCGTTTCGATTGAGAAATAGATCGTTGCGTTGAGGTAGCAACTTTTCGATCTTTAGCGTTTCTTTGGATAAGTGAATACTTTTCAACATTTCCGACTATTGTTAATGGTGATGATAAATGTTTAGGATCATTTGAAACATCAAGTGTTTTAGATGAAGATATATCATTTGAATCAAGCTTATCATTTGTTAGAAATAAAGAACTATTCATGGCTACAATAGAATTTGATTGCACATGACTTTGACTGGGTACACGAATTTTATGAATAGTTTCAGCTGTATCATATTCTTCATTATATTCGATTGCCACACCCATTTTCGTTGGTAGTGGAATTTTCTAGAAATATCAAATTATGTCTCATGCAATTTTTGTTTTGTTCCATAAACCTACTGGTGAGACTTTAGTATCTACCATATCTGATGTTTGTTGAGTACTTTCAAAAGTTATTTCATTTGAATGCTTCGTTTTTTGTAATTCGTGAAATAATTCTTTTACATTAGTAGTTACTAATGAAAGATTAGTTTGCTCGACTAAATCAGTCTGTGGTATTAGTTTTCTGGTAGCAGGTTTGATTGTTGTTTGATTTGAAATATTTTTAATTTTGTTTTCTTCGGCAACAATCATTGGTGATTCTGATAGATGAGTTAAGCTTGGCACAATTTGAATATGAGTATCATGATGTGTTTGTTTATCTGATGAAAGAATTAATGACACTTGTTGTTGCTGTTTTTGTTCTTTATGAAGATGTTTACGAAGATTTTCTGTTTTATGATCAATAATTGATTGATTATCAAATTGATCAATCTTATCTAAGATTTGAAGTTGTATATCAATTTGTTTTGTACGATCATTTTCCTGTTGAAATTTTTCAAGAGATTTCCCTAAATTAATATGAAATAGGAGAGAAATTTTTGTGTTTTTGAGAAATATACTTAATTGATGAAGATCTTCAACAAAATCAATCATTTGTTGATGAACTATTTCATTTTGACCTTGTTCTAAATGAGTAGAAGACAATCTATCTGTTTGATTTTCTATTTGAACAATATCAGTTTGTGTTTGAGAAAGTTTTTCTCGATCATTTTGGATTTGTTGTTGTAGAATTGTATCATAATTTATTAAAAGTTCATGGATTTGTTCATTAACTTGATTTGTATCAAGAGATTTTTCACTGATTTTTGATGATTTTATTGAAGTTTTAGATTTTTTATGTTCAATTGATTGCTGATTATCGATCATTGAAGGAATTTGAATTTCTATTGGACTAGTTTTCTGTGATTTTTCTTTTTCTTGAAAAGATTCAATCATTTGAAATTTATTTGAAATAATTTGTTCAGCAGCTAATTGTCGAGTAAAATCACCAATAACAATTGCTTCATTATATTGTTTATGTAAATAATTAATTTCATTTTGTAAAATTCGTTGTTTTGAATCTATAGAATCTAATGATGAAATTTGTTGAATAAAATCTTTTTGAAAATTCGTTGTTGATTGATATTGAAAATGAAATAGTTGATATGGAGATTCTTGTTGTATAGATGTTTGTATTTCTAATTGATGTAATTTTACTGAACATGGTAGTATTGAAGGGATTAATTCTTGTTCAGAAGTTAATTTATGCAATACAAGTAAATTAGGAGATATACGTTTAGATAAACGTTCGTACTGAGCAGATTGAATGATTACATCTATGGCTAAATAATAGAAATGATTAAGAAGAATAAAATGATACACAATGGTTCCCAAAATTATTCGACCAGGTTTATTTTGAACTTTTTTTTCACGGCCCTAAACACTGATAAGAATAGATTCTTGAGAAATTATATTTATCTTGTTTTACTTTTATGTTTAAATATATTTTAAAGTTGTAAGAATATTTTGGTCGTTTTAGTTCTTTTGAGTGTGAGTGAACGAAACACGTTCATCCACTCGCACGCACACTTAATTGACGCTCAAAAGGAATATAAAAAATAAAAGGACCTAAAGAGTGTAAAACATAAAATTCATAGTAGTTTGAAAAGCTTTAAAGTAAAATGGAGTAAATTTAATTTCTCGCGGATTCTTCAGTTTATCAAAGATAGAATCCGTGAAAAACCAAAACCCTTGTCTAGCATTATAGAGCAAATACTTTTTTACGAAATGAAACGTCTTCCGGCTATGTAGGACGTTTTTAAACCGAGATACATCAATCTTACGGAAGGCACAAAAACTAGCAACCCTTTTTTAGCTTTGAAAATTCTTGTTCGAAATAAAATTCTCTACACAAATTACTATTTTAATTCTTCTCAATACTGATGACTACGGAAAAAAATGGAACCTAAACCAGATCGAATAGTTTTGGAAGTCATTGCATATAAACCTCTCTGTTTCATTTGTTGAAGTAATTCTTGGTTTATGTCTTGCTCGAAATTAGAAATAAAAACCGAATGAAATTGATTGGTTGTTTCGTGTAGAATTGTTTGTATTTTAATAATTAATTGTTTATTATGTGTAAATTCATTTTGTTGTCTTATTAGATTGTCCATTTGTTCACGAACAAGACTATCAAACAATGAATATTCTCGTGCTGTAGAAATTTCGTCGTCAATATCTTTTAATATGTTTTCATTGTTAATTTTTTGTCTATTTAAAATTTGTTCATAAGTTTTCAAATGATTGAATGCTTTGCTAAATGAACTCATATTAGATAAACTTGATTCAGGAGTCTTATTATGAAACATAGAAACTAGATCATTAGTGATTTGTTGAATTTTCATTGCATAAAATTCATGATGTATATTTAATGGTTCAATTTCTGATTGTTGAGTATACGCTCTTAATGAACTCAATTGATCTTCCTAGAATAAAAAAAATAACGCAAAGAGGATGTACATATTGGTAAAAGAAAAGCTTGAATGTGGATCCGAACTCAGTCAAACCGTACTCTGATAGTTTCTCCGAATTTTTTCATATTCGGTGATTCCATAGTGCACCCTATACATTTCTCAGTCTATTAAAGTCCATCGGATTCAAAATTTTTGAACCCGGGCCTAAGGTCAATCCTATGAGATCTACTCTCAACTGAATAGAATTTGTTTAATATTTAAATAATTGTATTCAGAACAAGAATAGATTGCTAATTTAGTTTTGTATATTGATCATCAACAATAGAATCATCGCTTTTCAGAAGATTTCAGTCTCGTTCATTTTATTGTCAAGACAATCTTATCAATAGCAATGAACTAAAAATGATCAGACCAATCAATGATATATAAAAATTATTTACTTCAGTAATTGAAGTTAACATTGTACGTTGTTTTAGTTCTTCTTTCTTTTTTAAAACATCAAGTTTTCGTAATAATTCATTTCTTGTTATATCGAATTCTCTCATTTCTTTTTTAAGTATTTTTTTATGACTATGTAATGTATCACGTATGAATTGAATATTTGTTTTAGCAGGAAGATTCATTTGATAGTTATTCATTATTATTTCATATAATCGATCAAATTTTGAATAAAGAAAATCATATTGTGAATTTTTTTCATTAATTGTTTCTAATTTATTTAATAAAATTTTAAATTTTTTAATAAATTTTAATAATTTCTTATGATTATTTATTTTTATTTCATTTTCAATAAAATTCATTTGTTGAAAATAAAAATTTTCATTATTATCTATTGATTTAATTTTAAATTGTTCTAATTCATCAAATATCTTCTGTCTATATTGTTCAATTATTTTCAATTCATTATGAAGAAATCGAAGAATAAAATTAAATATATAAATTAATTTTTCATTTTTAGTTTTTAAATAATTAGGAATTTCAATTTCATTTAAATTACATACATCCTTCACTAATTTATTAAGATCTTCAAATTTTATTGTTTCTAATGAATCAGCTATTAATATAATCAAAAATATTATAATTATTAATTCAAAAAAGAATGAATCAAATAAATTAGTATCACAAAAGTTATGTACGAAAGTTTTCAGTCGAAACTCGATAATCAGTTGTCCTGTAGGAAGCCATGGCATTCATTTAGAAAAATACCATAAAAATGAAGTATTGCGGTCAAGGTCTCAAACTTGTTTCAGGATATTCAAAACTCATTGGAGTCTACATGATGCATTTGGTCCTGGCTCAAAAATAATTAATCAATTGAGAAAGGTCCTTCGTTAGAAAGAAATCTCGAAATAAGGAAGTTTTAAATCAACTGACCCTTCTTAGAGATAAAGTAGATCTATTCTCAATTGATTGTGGCTTATTTCATATGAAGATATTGAACAAAAAAAAATTATAATTCATTTCTATCAGGAATGAATGAAAATGAACTCACAGGATTGATTTTACGAGGAAACATATCCAAATATCTGACACAGTTCGAGTTCATATTATGATTACAAGTGTGTCGAAAGTATTTCCGAAAAAACCAAAAAACGCCATAAGACGACACAGTAATCAATTCTAATCGGATATTGATTGTCTTGAGAAAGACTTGTTTATTTTCGTTGAAACTTTCAGGTCAAAATTCTGTTTTGACTTTTTGTCATGGTTCTTCATCAGTAGACTATGGGACCAAAATGCTTTCAAGCTTTTCTTAGTGTCACAGAGATCTATTCGTAGCCATACATAATATAAAATCGAACTGTGTTCGATAGTTAGATATGTTGCTGTCTTTAAATAAATCATACCCATCTTTTGATGAAGATCATATTGCATTCGATCAATTTTGTCATATAAATTTTCGATATTGTTTTCGTGTTCCATTTCTTCATTAAATCGTGTATTGAAAAATTGAAAATATTCAAATCGAATTAGTTCTGATTGTTTTAATTGATTAGATTTGTTCTGAATATTTATTAATAAAGATTCAAATTTTTCTTCTATTGTTTTTGCACGATTTTTAATACCTAATTATTTCTAATTTCTAATATAGTTTAATATTACAACAAATAAAACTGACCAGACAGAATAATAGGTCGAAGTTCGTTGAGAAGTTGAGTGTTTTGCATATGATTCGTAAGATTTTGAACTTGTTTAATTATTAATGGATCATCAAGTTGAGTAGATATTTGAGTTAACTGCTGAATAAGATTATTTTCAAGTTTTTGAATTTCTAATGGTTCAATTGTTTGACTTTTTCGATATTTCGTCAAGTGTTCATCTAATTCTAAAAATGATTTCATTGTATTAAGAAGATTATCCATATTAGATTGTTCACGTTTGTATTCGATTTGATCTATTGAAATATCATCATATTGTTTATCTATAGGAAAAAAAAACAAAGAATTTAGTTAATATGCTTTTTTAAATAATTTATTTTACCTAAAATAGGTATAATTAGTTCAATGATTTTTTCTTCGATTTTTAATTTATCAAGCCGATCTTGTAGATAAGCATTAATAAGTTCAAATTCATTGAATATAATTTTTAAAAATTCATTTTTATTTTCGGATGATTTCAAATATCTAAATAATTCATGCCGTTTCCCATCAAATAAATTTATTCTATTCGAAATTGTATTCTCAATTGAATGTCGTATTTGAATTCCAATATCTGATATTTGAATAGGTTCAGATATGATTGATTTATCTTTATTGATAATGTACGTAATAAATTTTCTTGATGTAAATTCAGCTTGTTGTATTGTAATTAGATATTGTTTAGGTGTAAGTAATATTTGTTCATTAGTTTTTTCATCATATAGAAAAGTAACAAGAGTAAAGTCAGAAATACTCAACGATGAATAAGTATGATCAAGTAGTTGAATTGGTTTAGAAAGCAGTTGATCATTATTATCGACAACAAATAATGTATGACCTGGAAAAAATATGTATCGATTGTTATATTTCATATTATAATAAAGTTGATTAAATGGAAGGATATAAAGAGTGGTGCATAAAGAATAAAACACTTTTTTTTGTCTTTTTCCTGAAGACTCGATAGATAGTTGAAAGACTCCATTTTTCTTTTCGACGAAAATTCAACAAACTTTTTGCCAAAAATTCAGTTTTAATATAAGAACTTTTGCTAGATCGTAGGTTTTATTCTCTGATAGTTACTGTATGATCTCATGCATTGTGAAGGTTTCAATGACGTCTTATCAAAGTCTATGAACATGAAAGAAAGACAGAGTCCAAAAAACGGAATTGAATTCAACTTTGACTCTGTATACTTCTATAGGATGCTGTTTGAACCTCCAGAAGACATCAGTTTGTACAGTAAATATCAGAGAAAAAAATAACCCTTTTGACAAAAAATTTAGTTAATTCTGTGCAGATCTTAAATAATTTTACATTTCCTGCAGGCATAATTTGAT